CATGTTCCTCTGCTACTGGTTTGGCTTCCTGATAGACGAGTCCGAGTAGCGCCATCTCACTGCGGAGCTGAGTCCCACCTGGTTTATAGACGCACAGTGTGAGCAGGTAGATCGCATCAGAGCGTCGGGTCGCAGTGTGAGAACAAACATCATGAGCTGGGAACTTTTAAACCCTGCGGTTTGGTCGTACAGTCTGAGCTGTAGCTGCGTGCAAAGATTAGAAAAATCGTCCAGTCTATGGCCGCCTTAATGGGGCAAACAACTCTGGCCAGCAGTTAAAACCTTCCAGGTTGAACTAGAAAAGAAGTGCTGACCTACGAACATGAGCCGACCGATCGGTTATCAGTCAGGAGGGAAAACACTGAATCTTTTTAACCTCATCAGGTCTCAGGTTCAAATCTATAAACATTGGTTTCCTGCTGCTTTCACTCAGCTCAGTGATTCCAGGGCTCTGAAAACTTGTTTTCCAGCCACGGAGGTTTCTGTTTGTGATTCAGCTTCACACATTTTAGGTAGGGTTCATTTTTTATTTCAGTCTAAGATAACCTGATCAAATTCAAACACAAGCTGTAGACCTATAGGAGGAAAAGGTTTTAGTTCTTTTAGCTTCTGCTCTGATTTTGGGGGAAACAAGCTGACCTGAAGGCACCAAACGCTGTCCAGAGTAAAGTCTTAGTGGCGCCGTCCACCCAGCAAACATGATATGCTTGATAGCAATGAGGACACAGATTAACGAGATTTATTGAAATGTTTGTTGATATATCGACAGGATTCAACGGAATCTGGAAAATCTGAAGGATGCATTAGTGGCTGCACAGGAACATCTGGATGAGTACAGCTCAGAAACAAAGCCACTGACCTTCACAGAGTGTGCGAGAGAGCCGAGATAATAAAGATACTAGAGCAGACTGACGGGGAGCTGACAGGCTGCGAGTTCGAATCCCTGAGTTTGATCAAACTCAGGGGAAATCAGCCAAGGAGTCAAAAGTATTAATGTTCGTTACTTCAGTAGAAGTAGAAATCCTGCTGTTTAAAAACACTTTTATAGAAGTTAGAGGATCAACTTCAGCTTTTTACTTCAGTGAAAGTACCATTTTTAAAACTACTTAAACTTCAAAAGTCAAAGTACTGCAGGAATAACTGTTAAGGACAGAACTTTACTAATCTACCCTATTAAAGAAACCTATTTCTACAATTCTGGATGATAACTTCCTTATGCTATGTTCAGACCGCACACGCTAGAGGCAGCAGAAGCAGCTAGTTTATAGTTTAGTCGTGTTAGTGGTTGATGCTAGGTTGATGCGCAGGTGCAGCAAAATGTCCTGCAGCGTGTCATGAACGTCTGCCATGCAGGACACACAGCAAATGCAGCAGCTGCTGGAGTTTAAAAATGTAACTTCAGCTGCTGGACGCGCGCATCAACCAATGAGAGCAGCTGATCTGGGAGCTGGCAGGGAGTCAGAC